ACTCTGGTGACCCACAGGATGGACAAGACCATGACAAACCTGGTGACGAGGCGGGTTCTAGTGAAGATCGGGGTTAGGCGCCTTAGGGATTTTTCTTTGTTTTTGTATTTTGTTCATTTTGTTGAGGCCATTATCGTTGGCCTTTGCAAAGACTTATATTGGAATGTATATAAGACTTTTTTTTTCTTTGGAATTTTCAAGTTCGTTTCTTTTGGCTTCCTCTTTATGATTGCAAAGATTTCAAATGTCTTAGCACGGAATAAGATGTAGTACTAAGGTCTTGTTCGGAGTTTCAAACAAGACAAGACTGATTCTCGATGTAATTTTTGTTTGAAACTCGTGGGGGCTCGGTATGACCTAAAGCTTTCCCCAAAGTGCTTGTTTAGATGTTTTTAAATTATAGTTTTGCCGAGGGTAGCCTTTGAACCGGTTCGGAATTTTTGAAGGCCTCATGTTTTGATTACGGGCTTCGGACGTCTCTGAGCCATTTCTAGGGCGACCGTAGCCTTTTAAGTTCAGCTACTGCCTAATAGGCTTACCTTCGGGCTTCGATACCCAAGCCGTCCGAACTTGCCTTGGACGATAGTCCCCGATTTGGGGTGGCCGTAGCCTTTTAAGTTTAGGCACTGCCTATTAGGCTTCTGAGCCCCCGGGCTTCGATACCCGAGCCATCCGATCTTGCCTTAGACGATAGTCCCCGAGTGAGGCTGATCTTTTGGATCCGGATAGAGGCAGCCCATGAGCTCCATATCCTTAAGGAACAAAATGTAATAGTCTGAAAGGACAAAATATGTGTCTGTAAGGTGGAAAATTTCTTTCATTCCTGTGCGCGATATACAAGATTGTAAGTGTCTACAAGCTTCGTGTTATGGCTTAAGTGGTCTATGCGGGTACGGTTCATTTGATCATTTGGACCTTACAATAAATCCTATCCACCAAGCCCAGAATGTTCAAGCACAAAGTTTTCTTCCTTTCCAAAATCGTTACCCGAGGGTGATGGCCCCCAGTATTCGAGTTCGTCGAGAGGGCTCGAATACCATTGATCTGACCCTCGATTCCACCGGTCTTCGATTCTAAGCTAGCACGATCCGCTGTTGCCTTGCTAAAAACCTTATCGGAAAACCCATTAGGAACAAAACCTGTTTAAGGGAAAAAGAGTGCAACAGGTGCTTTCAGGCCTAATATTTGCATTATTCCTTGGTTGTTTCCTGCAAGTGTTAGTCCAATTCGCAATATATGTAAAGAAAAGAATGAATGGGCTCGTACCTTAGCAGTAGTATCACTTTAAGTGGGTCACATTCCAGTTGTTTGGTAGTCGCTCACCATTCCCTGCTTCGAGTTTGTATGAATCTTTACCGGTAATCTCGACAATTCGATATGGACTTTCCCTATTCGGTCTTAGTTTCCCTTTGTTCGAGTTCCGGGTGTTTAGTGTCACTTTTTTTCAACACCAAGTCCCCGATATTAAAATGTCGGAGGTTGGCTCTCCGGTTGTAATACCTTTCGATCCGTTGTTTTTGGGCGGCTAACCGGACGGGGGCGGCCTCGCGCCTCTCGTCCAATAGTTCCAGGCTTGTGCTCATGGCTTCACCGTTTGACTCTCCGGTCGCATATTGGAACCTGAAACTCGATTTTCCTACCTCGACCGGTATTATCGCTTCCGCACCGTAGACCAACGAGAACGGGGTGGCCCCGGTACTAGATTTTGAGGTCATACAATATGCCCACAGGACTTCGGGCAAAATTTCCTTGTATTTTCCTTTTGGCGTTGATCAATCTCTTCTTCAGGTTTTGGAGTATGGTCTTGTTGGTAGACTCCGCATGCCTGTTCCCACTAGGGTGATAGGGTGTTGATAAGATCCTTTTGACCTTATGGTCCTCGAAAAATTTGCTCACCTAACTGCCGATGAACTGAACTGCTTCCCGTTGTCGCATATGATCTCGGCAGGCATTCTGAGCTGGCATATTATATGGTCCCAAATAAAATCAATGACTTCTTTCTCCCTAACTTCCTCAAATGCCTGGGCTTCAACCCATTTAGAAAATTAATCAGTCATAAATAATATAAATTGAGCCTTACCGGGTGCCTATGGTAGGGGACCGACGATGTCCATTCCCCATTTCATGAATGGCCATGGTGACAAGACCGAATGCAGTAGCTCCCCAGACAGGTGCATCATTGGTACGTGCCTCTGACATCCGTCGCACTTTCGTACGAACTCATTCGTATCTTTCTCCATGTCGATCCAGTGGTAGCCGGCTCTGATTATCTTACGAACCAGCGATTTGGCACCCAAATGGTTCCCGCAGGCGCCTTCGTAAACTTCCCTCAAGACATATTCGGTATCTCCCGGTCCCAGACATATGACGAGTTGGCCATAGAACGTTCTCCTGAATAGGGTGTTGTCTTCGGACAGGCTGAACCTAGCCGCCTCGTGCGTAGAGCTCTAGATTCTATAGGGTCCAAGGGTAGCTTCCCGGTCTTCAAGTATTCTATGTACTTGTTTCTCCAATCCCAGGTTAATCTCGTCGAGTTTATCTCGGCGTGGCCTTCTTCCATTATCGATTTCATGAGTTGTACGACCATTCTCGAGCTGAATTCATTGTCATCAACCGACGATCCCAAGTTAGTTAGAGCATCGGCCTCGCTGTTTTAATCCCGGGGTACATGTTGTAGGGTCCACTCCTTGAATTGATGCAGTGTTACCTGTAGTTTATGCATGTTTCTTCGCATTCGTTCCTATTTTACTTTGAACGTCCCATTGACCTGATTCACCACAAGGACGGAATCGCACTTAGCTTCGATCACTTCAGCCCCCGAGCTTTTAGCCAGTTCGAGACCTGCAATTATGGCCTCATACTTGTCCTCATTGTTAGTCAAATTTACAGTTCTAATAGAGTACCTAACTATATTACTCGTTGGTGGTTTTAACACGATGCCAAGTCTGGACCCTTTTACGCTCGAGGCACTGTCCGTAAAGAGGGTCCAGATCCCCGAGGAAGTCTCTGAATTCAACAAAAATTCCCTTTCGACCTCGGGTATTAGGGCCGGCGTGAAGTCGGCCACGAAGTCTGCCAAAATTTGGGATTTGATGGCGGTTCGGGGTCGATATTCAATATCATACCCGATGATCTCCACGGCCCATTTGGCCAATTGTCTCGAGAGTTCGGGTTTATGCATTATGTTTCTCAACGGGTAGGTAGTTACGACACATATGGAATGGCATTGAAAATATGGCTTTAACTTCCTGGAGGCGCTTAGCAAAGCCAATTTTTCAAGGTGAGGATATCTAGTTTCGGCCTCGCCTAGAGTCCTGCTAACATAGTAGATAGGAAATTGTGTACCTTCCTTTTCCCGGACCAGGACACCACTTACCGCTATCTCGGACACCGCGAAGTATAGGTATAACTTCTCGTCTGCCTTCGGAGTATGAAGCAAAGGCGGGCTCGAAAGGTACCACATGAGTTCTTCCAAAGCTTGTTTGCACTCCGGGGGTCCATGAAAGTTATTCTTCTTCTTCAATAACGAGAAGAACCGATGGCTCATGTTGGAGGACCTTGAAATGATTCGACCTAAGGCTATGAGCCCGGTTAGCCTTTGAACGGCCTTAACATTTTCCACCATGGTGATGTCTTCTATGGCCTTGATCTTGTCTGGGTTGATCTCGATCCCCCGGTTGGACACCATGAATCCGAGGGACTTTTTGGACCCGTCTCCAAATGCGCATTTCTCTGGGTTTAGCTTCATATTGTATTTCTTCAATATGCTGAAGGTTCCCTGCAAATGTTTCAAATGGTACTCTGCTCGCAAAGACTTAACTAAAATGTCGTCAATGTAAACCTCCATTGGTTTTCCTATTTGCTCTTCAAACATCTAATTTACTAGGCATTGGTAAGTTACACCGGCATTTTTTTTAGTCCGAATGGCATTACGTTATAACAGTAGTTACCGTATTTAGTGATGAAGAATGTTTTTTCTTGGTCGGGTCCATACAGATTTGGTTGTACCCGGAGTAGGCGTCGAGAAAACTGAGTATCTCGTGGCCGGTCGTTGCATCGATCATGCGATCGATGTTTGGCAAACAGAAAGAGTCTTTGGGGCATGCCTTGTTTAAGTCTTTATAGTTTAAACACATTCTCAACTTATTTCCCTTTTTAGGTACGACCACTACGTTTGCTAACCAATCCGGGTACTTAACTTCCCGAATGGAGCCTATTTTAAGAAGTTTGGGTACCTCGTCTTTGATGAACGCATGCTTGACTTCGGACTGAGGCCTCCTCTTCTGTTTAACCGGGTGAAACTTCGGATCCAAGCTCAGCTTGTAAGTAGTTATTTCCGGTGGGATCCCTATCATGTCAAGATGGGACCAATCGAAGCAATTAAAGTTAGTTATAAAGAATTCAATGAGTTTTTTCATGAGCCCGGGAGTTAGTCTCGTGACCTGGTATACCTTTCGATCGGGAAAGTGCTCGATCAAACTGACTTGCTCCAGCTCTTCAACCGTTGACTTGGTGGCATCAAAAACGTCAGGGGCTATGAAAGACCTAGGGACTCCGTAGTCATCATCCTCACCTATCTCCTACTTTTCTAGTTCGGTTGGGGCCGGTGTCAGTGATTGCTATTTGGTTTCGCCCATGGTGACTGAACTCGGGCTCTTTGACGTCAAAAGTATGGATATCGAGACCACCTATCGACCGCGAACATTTCTTTTGCAGCCGGTTGATCCCCATAAACTGTTTTGATCCTTTCCGGTGTAGGAAATTTCAACGCCTAATATAGCGTCGAGGGTACTGCCCTCATGTTGTGAATCCATAGCCTCCCGAATAAAGCATTGTACCTCATATCTCCTTCGATCACGTAAAACTTTGTGTCCTGAATGGTCCCGACGTACCGGTAGGGTTATCTCCCCTTTAGTGGTCTCGCATACCATGTTAAATTCGTTTAAGACTCCGACTATAGGCACTATTTGGTCTTGCAGACCCAGCTATTCCACGACCCTCTATCTGATGATAGTGGACGAGCTACCTGGATCAATTAGCACACGCTTAACTCGAAATTTATTTATGAGCACAGATATTACCAATGCATCATTGTGCGGTTGCACGATGCCTTCAGTATCCTCGTCGTTGAAAGATACGGTTCCCTCTGGTACATAGTCCCAAGTCACTTTTTCCCTTGTAATGGATACTTTAGTGCGTTTTAACATTGGCCCTCGGGGGATGTCAACTCTACTAATGATCATGTTAATGACGTGCTGAGGTTCCTCTTGCTCGATCTGTTTGTTGACGTCCCTATTCTTGAAGTGGTTTTGGGCTCGTTCACTCAGAAATTCTTGGAGGTGCCCGTTATTGAATAAACGGGCTACTTCTTCTCTCAGTTGTCGGCAGTCTTCAGTTATGTGGCCGTTGGTGCCATGATATTTACACATTAGATTGGGGTTGGGAAGGATCCAACTGCAATGGCCGAGGCCACTTAGTATCTTTGATACGTCCGATGGCTGATACGATACAGGCAGCATCGACGTTGAAGTTGTATTCCGATAACCTTGGTGCTTCCTTGAACCCGATAGGTCTGTCAAAACCGTTCTTGCTCACGAGTCCCCGATTATTATGACCTCGATCACTCATTCTTTTACACCTTGCAGGGTTGCGTCCGGACCCACTTCCCCTTCGATTTCCATTGTATGTTTGATACCGATATCTATTCGATCTTGGTTCGTGATCGATGGCTCTTTTGGATCTGTCACTGGTCCTGACGGGGTAAAATAACCCAGAAGGGGCCCCGAGATGATCATCTTCAACCCTTATTTTTTATTAGTACCTATTAGGGATATCAGCCCAAGTTACTGCCAGGTATTTTATCAAATTTTGCTTCAACTACTGTGAAGCCAACGAGCTTTGGGGATTGAGTCCTTGGGTGAATGCTTGAACGGCCCAATGTCTGCGACCAGAGGCAGATCCATCATTTCCATTTGAAACCTCAACACGAATTCCCTGAGAAACTCGTTATCATTTTGCTTTACCTTGAAAAGGTCCGACTTCCTGGTCTCGACCTTGATGGCCTCGGAGTGTGCTTTTACAAAGTCATCTACAAGCATAGCAAACAAGTCAATAGATTTTGGGGGTAAGTTGTGATACCATTTCATAGTTCCTTTTGACAAGGTCTATTCGAACTTTTTCAGCAGAACGGATTCGATTTCATCATCCTCCAAGTCATTCCCCTTGATGGCGCACGTGTAGGAGGTCACATGTTCATTTGGATCAGTCGTTCCATTATACTTGGGGATTTCGGGCATACGGAACTTCTTAGGGATCGGTTTCGGAGCTGCGTTGGGATGGAAACGTGTTTGGACAAGCTTCTTGTAATCCAGGCCTTTCAGTATCGGTGGTGCTCCTAGGATTTGGTAGACCCTGGAGTTATAGGTCTCCACTTTTTGTCGTTAGCTTCAATTTTCTTTTCTCCCGATTCTACCTATTTCGTCAATTCCTCGAGCATCTTTATTATCTCGGGGTTGGTCCCGGATTCAGCTTCGCTTGACCTTTCTATGACTGGTTCATTTCTACGAGTGTTTTCCAGGGATGGTTCGGGCTCAACTCTACTGGGAGCACGGCTTTGGTTCTGCAACTGGTTTATCGCTGCCTGTTGAGCCTGTAGCATTTCGAAGATCACCCGCAAGTTGATCTCGTCACCTTCACTGCTGTGCGTATCCCTGGCTACCTACCTGGCTCCTCCATGAATGTTGTTTTCCAAATTGGTGGGCAAGTTAGCATCGATGGCCACATGGGAGTTGGCATCGATTAGATCTACGACCGGGACCCCGTTGGGGTCAGCAAGGTAAACCTCGTTTCTAGGCACTATATTGTTATTCTCGCCGTGGTGGCTAGATTCAGCATCAACATTTAGGTGAGCAGATTGAGTGTTTAACATCTTTAAGCTTTCCTGAAATTAAGATCTCAAAGAACAAGAGTAAAGTTGTGTGTGTTATGAAAATTTGTATCAAATAGCCACTATTATCCTTAGCCCCATGGTAGGCGCCAAACTGTTTACCCTAAAATTAGATAATAATTTAATTTATATTTAGTTTTAAAGATATATGAATTAATTCAATACGATTGACAAATTGCGTGAGATTAGACAAACAAAAGACATGATAAAGTGTCAAACCAATTGTGGGGGGGGGGGGGGGGATGAACCCGACTCGATAACACCCTTAGTGAGGTGCCTGCCTTCGATCCCGACTCACAATAACGAAGCACTTGATGAACGAAAGTAAGAACTTTTTATAACAAAGAAAAATTGAAGGTATATTGCCTTGAAGTGCGTGTTCCAATGTGTTAGCGAATAGTCAAACTCCCATTTATATGGTAGGGGAGTTTTACCCTAAGCACAATTCTATAAAAGGTAAATTCTTCCGGTTTACTAATCCCAGATCTTTCGCCGGTGCGTAGCGAGATTCACGCCGTGATACCCGACTGGGTAGGGATATCATGGCTCTTTGTCAGTCGTGCTAGATTGTTTAATAACGTTCTCTGAAGTTTAGGGTTTCGAATCGGTCTCGAGGGCATGACTCTGGTTACTCCGAGGGCAGATGTTTACCTGGATCTCAATTTGAGGAGCTTCTCGCCTCGATTCCGATTCCTCACATTTGCATTCATGTCTCACTTACACAAATCGAGAATCGAGTGGTCCAAAGGGCTCGGTTTTACCCGTATACAAAAATAAACTCTGGAGAATTCTATCGATATGTCCAAAAGATTTACCATTTTGGTAAACATTGTAACTTGCAAGTCTCTATGCTCTTGCATTATAGTCAAAACTAACACTTACTACAGTTAGCAAATTTAGATTGTAGTGACAATCCTAACATTACACTTATTAGTAGTTTTTTAATACAATTAACAAGGAGTGTAACGTGTAACGAAACAGGGACGTACGCAGAACTTTTTGTAAGCGGTGTTGTATTTAAATAAATATTATCTAATATCATTTTCTCACAAGCTGAAAGTCTTGGCCAATGATTTAATTGAATATTATTGCAAAGGGAGGTGTTCGATTCTCCTTAGCCTCAAATTTTTAACAAAAATACTCGCTCGAAGATGTTTAAAAAATAGAATGTCTAGGTCCAGCCTTGAACCTACAATCTTTACAAACCCAAATGTAAGTTTGACCAATGAACAAAGAAGTACACTTTGCCAAAAAAACGGTATCATTATTATATATTGCTTCTTTTTTACAGAATACTAGTATAAACATGTCACGCCCGGAACCTGGGGGCGAGACCGGCACCCGGTGCCCCACCTAACCTTGCATACTAACTTGCGACTAAGGAACTCTGAACATGTGATGTCATACTTTGGCCATGGGCCAAATTGCAAGACAACTGCGAATGCTGACTAAATATCAATATAAAGCTGGGCCGACAAGGTCGTCGTAATTATTGCAGCTGACAAACCAACCAAATATACATACAGGGCCTACAAGCCCAACATATTGCACTAACTGACAGGATATGTCTACAAGCCTCTACTAGTAGATATACTGTGATCGGAACAGCTCCCCGACCTACTCATACCATATATACATATATACACAAGATGTACATAAAACTCTAGACCCGGCAACTCCGAAAGGCATGGAGCTTACCGATCAAGCTGAACTCGGGCAACACTTAATGAGGAGGTCTACCCGCCTGTCTGTCTGAACCTGCACGCATGGAATACAGCGGCCCCAGGAAAGGGACGTCAGTACGAAATAATGTACTCAGTATGTAAGGCAATATACTGAAAGCTGAAACTGAACTGATAATATAATAACTGGAAGTCAAAGATAATCTGAAGATATGCTTACCTGCTGATACTGACTCAACTCTCTCAATATAGTAAGTAAAATAGCTGTCCGGCCTTATAAGGCTAGGTATATATATATATAACTGCTCTGCCGTAGTAGGCTCGCTCATAGGCGCTCGGCCATACTAGGCTCTATCTCGACCAACTGGGCTCGCTCATAGGCGTTCAGCCTCAGTAGGATCGGTATATAACTTACCATCTGATCGAAGGTTGCCCAATAGGGGCCTGCCCATCGATTATAGCTCGATGTTAATGAAAATGCTGTAATACTGTATATATAGACTTTCTGCTCTCTTGACTAGAAGGAGGAAATACTTAATTGAATATCGTACTTACAAGACTAGGAAAAATATACGTAAATTCCGGAACATGAATTTTTCTTTATGCCTCGTTATCAAACTTGTGTGATTACGGGATCATGCAAAATGAAGGAAGAGCTTAGCCTTAACATACTTGGAGTAGGGAAAAATCCGTATGATATTCTTGGAAAAAGTTGCACCGTACTTTGTAAGGATCGCAAAATTTTACGTTGCTACAATTCCAAAAATCTTCGTTGGACTGTTGAAGATTTACGTTGCTTCAAGATAATCACGCTACTTAATGTATAAAATCTAATCTTTGGAGTGATTTTGGAGAATGGTAGGTTGAAGGAATTAAAGATTGCTAACATTATAAAATCTGATCGTTGGAGTGATTTTGGAGGATGGTAGGTTGAAGGAATTAAGGATTGCTAACGTTTTGTTAGTTGAAAGACTTTGATTAGGCAATTTCTTGGAAATGAAAGACATTGTAATTTTATGACAACTTAGCAAGGAATGACTATTAGTCATTCCTTTATAACATGGCTAGCTGCCACATGGGGATGGGGGTGGGATATTTAATCTTTATCCACTTATTAAGTAATTAGGTAATGTCCCTTTACCCGCTAATTAACCAATTACCCGCATAATTAAAAATTATCTCAAATTAATTAAAATTCTAATTATTTTAAATATATTTTATATATCTTACTATCACGGTCATATGGTACCTTGTATGGTGCTAGTCCATAAATATCGGGTATTAACGCTCGGCCCGTATTTTATCCCAAATCGACAGCCTTCAACGGAACTCATTTACTTTAATCCGTGACCATTTCCTTCATGGCACTTACTTATTGCTTGATATAAATAGCATAAATATGCTAACCTCCAGATAATCTCATCCCCGAGTCTACGTAAATTAACTGAAGACGAAATTTTAACGTGCGAAAAATGCGAGATGTAATAAAACATTTAATTTTTTTCCTAGTGCATGCACCCCTGTAAGGAAAGATAATTCTTACTCCATTCGTTTTAATTTAGATGAGGTAGTGTAACTCGGAACAGAATTGAAAGAGAAAAAAAAAAGTTAAAACTTGTAGTGCTAAAAGCTTAAGGGGTAAAAGATTATTATTGTTTTTAAATATAATATAATATTATTATTTTTAGAACAGACTAATGTAAATAAAATACATCATCAAAATTGAAACGGAGAAAACGGAATATTACTCTTGCATTATTATTTTTTATAGGGAAAATTTCTCACAAGAACAACTATAGCCCATATTTTAATTTACAACCAACTAGCCCAAAAATAATAGGCTAAGATTCAACATCCAACTCCAACAAGTTCTCGAAATTACTATTTATTT